CACGAGTGGAAATAGAGCTATATGGTTGCTGTTGCATGTGGTCATTAACTTACTTAACCAAGCATGCACATGCACAAGGGAGAAACTCACCACTTTTTCACTGGCATTTGCAGGGAATGCAGGTCTTCCCCAAAGCTTTACTGGATGGATTACTCAGGATGGAGGATGAGCTGAGAGCTGCTCAAGCCCAGAATCCACCAGAGGTAACTGGTACATTTATTGTGGGACACCTCAGCACATCGAGAGGGAACGTAAGGTGCCACCAGCTCAGAGAAAGTCATCCCCAGCTGCTGCAGGAAGGTGTTTTTGCTTTACACAGCACGCATGAGCACGAGGAAATCCCTCTTGCACCAGGAAAGAGGGAGCACTTACAGGACACACTTTTCACTGGGTCATCTTTCTCTGCCTTAGATTTTAACACTTTGGGGAAAAAGCATTTTCTTGCCTCACCTGGAAAAAATTCACAGCACCGAGTGGTGCCTTTTGGTTTGCTTGTTTTAATCAGGGCTCTCAACATAGCCCTGCAGCCCTGGAAAGCATCTGGTCCCAGGGCATCCAGGGTGACTGCCAGGCCAGCTGCTACGCAGCATCCTCATCCCACAGGGTCAGCTATGTTGGGTGTAGGCTGGAGTCTAACCCTAGCCAGCAACTCAGCCCCACACAAGCACCTGCCCACTCCCCCTTAGTGGGGGACAGAATAGGAAGTGTAAAAGTGAAAAAACTCGTGGGTTGAGATGAAGACAGTTTAACAGGTGAAGGAAAAGGCACACACACGAGCAAAGCAAAACAAGGAATTCATTCCCACCACTTCCCATTGTCAGGCAGGTGTTCAGCCATCCCCAGGAGAGCAGGACTCTGTCACACTTAACGGTGACACCATCACTCTGAACATCCCCTCCTTTCTTCTTCTTCTCCCAGCTTTACATGCTGAGTATGAAGGTCTGTAATATCCCTTTGGTTAGTTGGGGTCAGCTGTCCTGGCTCTGCCCCCTCCTAACTTGCATCCTGAGCTCCCTTGCTGGCGGAATGAGAGGTAGAGAAGGCCTTTCGCTCAGCAGTAGCGAAAACATCCCTGTGTTATCAACACTGTTTCCAGCACAAATCCAAAAATACAGGCCCATGCCAGCTACTGTGAAGAAAATTACCTACCTCAGCTGAAACCAGCACAGTGTGATGGCCCAGACAGGTCACGGGGAAGGCCAACGTCACAGTGCACAGTGCAGGGCCCTCCTGGGAAGATGTGCATAGGGCAGTGGCTTGGCAAGGAAGACTCAATACTGCAGAAGAACTTTTTAGGTGCCTTTCAGGGAGCAGCCTGAGCTGGGCACCAAGCACAGCCATGTCACAGACCAGGAGTGTGGTGGGACAGCCAAGAACACCATGGTCCCTTCAGCAGCCTTCTCAGTGCGGCTGCCCATCCATCTACTGGCAGGTGGATACAGAAAGGGATTTGAGTGGTGCTGTAAAACCACAGACTGTGACCTAAAGAGAAGTGAAGTTACCTTAGACTTCCAGGGTGATTTGGCAACCTTGAAGAATTAAATCCTGTGGGTCTCTATGCTGTGAGGGTGCTGCTGTGCTCACCCCTTTTGCTTGGGACTGCCTAGGGACTTCCCTGACTTTTACCTGGCACATACCACAAAGGAGGGGAATGGAGATAGTTTCTCAAGCACCCCAAAGCATAAGCAACTCCTCCTCCCAGGAGAAGATAGCTCTATCCTTTCCCTCCTTATCTCCTTTCCAAGAAAACAGGTATGTTAGATTTGACTGATCTTACTGCTTCTCACTGAGAGAAACAGAAGAAAATGCCACATCCGTATATTCTCCTGCTACATCCATACACCTCTGGCAGCTTAAATTTTTCCCTTGCCTGACCTTCTTTTTTTCCTTTTTTTTTTGCTCACTGAGTATCTTTTGGCTCCCCATCCAAAGAGCAGAGAAGACATGCAAGACAAAGGCAGGAGTGCTGAACTTGAAGATCGGTTGCACATTGGATTTTTCTTGCTGCTAAGACTCCAAGAAAAGAAAAGATACCTGGCAAGAGACTGTGGCACAATGCTAAAAAATGTCACCATGTATATGTAGTCAGAGTCCAGAGTCCTGAACGAGATACACTGAAAACAGAACACATGCCAACTCCTGTATTGGGATGGATAACTATTTATACTTCCAAGGCACTATGAGAAGACAGTAAATTTCTTTACTATATTAGCATCTCCTGTATATGTAGGACTGTTTAATAAACAAAATACTAAATATAATTGTTGTGGTTTAACTCAGCAGGCAGCTAAACATCATAAAGACATTCACTCACTGCCCTCTCAGTGGGATGAGGGAGAGAATCAGAAAAAACATAAAACTTGTGGGCTGAGATAAAGGTAGTTTAAAGGAACAGAAAAGGAAGGGGAAAATAACAATAATGATAAAAGAATATGCTAATAAAGTGATGGACAATTGCTTTTCACCCACAAACTGATGCCTAGCCAGTCCTCCAGCCAGCTCCCCCCAGCTTTTTTGTTCAGCAATGATACCACATGGTATAGGATATACCTTTGTCCAGTTTGGTTCAGCTGTCCCAGCAGTGTCCCCTCCCAGCTTCTTGCACACCCCCAGCCTACTTGCTGGCAGGGCAGTATGAGAAGCTGGAAAGTCCTTGACTTAGTGTAAGCACTGCTCAGCAACAACTAAAACATCAGTGTGTTATCAACATTATTCTTCTCCTAAATCCCTAACACAGCACTATACCAGCTACTACGAAGAAAATTAACTCTACCCCATCCAAAACCAAGACAGTAGTGGTAAATGCTAAATGGTAATAATGGTAATAATTATAAATAAAATGTTAACAATAATTTCATGCTTTTTTGGAGCTGGAGTGCTTTTCCACCAAATGATCATGGAAACAGCTTTGATAGAAGTTGGAGTGAAAAACTGGACTAGGGAGAGAGCTCTTCCCTGTACTCTTGGAAGATACATGATGCCTTCACTTTCAGGACTGAGATACAGCAAACTGAAAGGAAAGAGGACAAACCCCAGCTGGTGCAGGTTTGCACAGCCTGGGGAACAGGGAAGGGCTGATGGTTTACTCCCTCTTCAGCAATTTGCAGCCCCAGCCCATCTCACATGCAGAGCCAGCTTTGGGTGGGTGCATTATGTTAGTGGAGTTTTGGGTGGAGGGATGGGTTATTTGAGCTCTTCTTTTTATTTGATCTTTGCAGAGCCTGATTTCGTACATGGGAGGGAGAGCCCTCCTCATATTCAGAGCAGCCTGTCTAAGGTGTGGCTGGAACCTGCAGACACAGTTTGATCAGCCTTTGCCGTGTTTTTCAGGGTTTATAAGGCAAAGAACTGTAGCTTCTGTAGGATCAGAGATCCGCCTCACTAGAGCAAGGGATGCCCAGGGGCAGATTTGAGCCCTGTTGCCATTTAATCATCTTTGTTTTGGCCTCCAGACCCTGCTAATGTAGCATCTCCTTTCCTGTTGCTCTCCACATTGCTCAAGGAGGTGAACTATTCCCTGCCTCCCTGGAAGCAGATTTGGAGTGAATTTGTCTGCGTTCCCTGATACACTAGTTTCTTTGCTTTCTGAGATCTCCCTGAGTAACTTCCCAGTCCTCTGGACAGTGTCTCTCAGTGCTAGGCAGGACCAGGCTTGTCCTGATTCAAGGCTTCCTTCTGTGCCATGGATGCACTGGACCCATGGGGAGCAAAGAGCAAAAAGTCACTGGGATTCCAGTACTGTCCAGAGTCATGCAGCCCTGCAACACAGATATGGTATAGGCACAAGAGAAGTCATTCATAACCTGGGGTAGAAGGATGGAAGGATGAAATAATGAAGTGCAAAAGGATGGGGACAGTGTGTTTAGGGCTGGGCTAAGCACCACTTTCCCTCAGCGTTACTGCCAGCAAGGGGTAAGTCAGTTATGCTGCATTAACACCTCACATCAGTGACAGGGATGAGAAAGGAGAGACCGAGGCACATCCGAGGTTTTCACAAGTTCCTCAGCAACTGCTGCCCCTGCTCTCTGGTGCCGTTGCCCGTCCCAATTTGCCTCCGCAGGAAAGGTAGTCTTTCCTTTCTCCCCAGATGCGGAAGGGAAAGCGTCTCTCACCATCCTTGTACTGCTCTTCCAGATCCCAGCAGGCAGAGAGTTTCCAAGAGGTAAAACCGGAGATGCTTAGTTGGGAAAGGGTCTCATCTCTGGCCCCCCGCCGCTCCCCCGCCCCCCGGTTCTGACAGCGCTGCTGGGCCACTCGAGGGCGGTGAGATGCTGAGACACGGCGAGGTCGGCGGTGCCCAAGGGTCAGAGCGGCCCTACGGAGCAAGGGCGGGCTCCTTGCACGGCCGTCGTGCAACAAGTCCCGGCACCGGGGAGCGGGAAGCGGCAGCCGCCCCCGCTCGCCTTGCAAACCCCGCCGTGCGCCGGCCTTGCTCCCCCCGTACCAGCCTCCGGCTCCCTCGGCAGCATGGAGGTCCGGCTGCCCGGCGGGAAGGCTGTAGGCTCGGCGGGGCCCGGCCCGGCTCGCAGCCCTGGCCCGGTCCCCGCCCCGTCCCGCCGGGTGCCAGCACAGCCGTGCCCGGGCCGGGGCAAGGGCAAGGGCAGGGGCGAGCCACAGGCGGGCCCCACCTCAGCACGGGAAAATGCGAAAGAAACGGGATCTTGATCCGTTCTTTCTGCTTTCTCTTTTGTCTCCTCTTTTTTCCTTTTCTTTCTTTTTTTTTTTTTTTTTCTGGGAGGGTGTCCTTTTTTATGACAGTGAGGGCACAAGGCGAGTGAGGAGGCGGAATCGTCTCGGCAGCCGCTGTATTTTGTGTGGAAGCCGCTCGGGGGTTCATTAATATCATTAGCATTTAACCCCCTCCCTGCCCCCTCCCCTTCCCAGCGCGGGGTGACGTCACGCGGCGGCAGGAGTTGGGGGGAAAGCGAGGGAAGCTCAGTGGGCAAGGGGCGTCCCTCTCCCCTCCCCGCCGCTGCCTGTCACAGCCTCTCTGCCGATATTATAGGGGCTGAAGCCTGGAGCTCAAAGCGCGAAGTCAGCCAGTGTAATGAACTTCTGGAAACCTTTCCCTTTTTATACCATTCAGTTTCTGAGAGGCAGAGACTGCCTCCTCTGACGCCTTTTCCCCCCTTCCATTATTTTTCCAGGCTCTGATCTCCCTGCTCGTTGCACCGAGGCGCTCGACGCAGAGCCCCGCTCCCCATCCTACCTTCTCTTTCGCCTCATTGTTGTCCTGGCTGCTGTGGCTCTCGCTTGCCTTCCAGGAGCGCAGTGGCCATCACAGTCGCACCCCCTGCACCCTCCCGGGGTCCCGAGAGCATCTGCTCGCAGGGGGGCAGCGAGCGGCCGCCGACTTTGGGTCGCTTCGTTGCTATTTTTCTTTGCCTTATTTTCGGCTTTCCTTTTTTTTTTTTTTTTTTTTTTTCTCCCCCTTTTTTTTTTTTTTTTTTTCTCCTTTTCCCCTCGCCGCGTCCCCGCAGCGTGTCCCCGTCCCTCGGGAGGACATTGCCGGGGAGCGGGGCCTCGGCGACGATGTGCCGGCCCCAGCGGCGGAGCCAGCAGTGAGCGCCCAAGGGAGGCACCTGCCCCGCGGAGCAGGGGGCGCTCCGGGGGGGCCGCACCGCCTCGCCCCGGCGCCGACGCTTCACCCCGAGTTTAACGACTCCCGGGGGCTTCGAGCATGAGCAAGCCGGCGGGATCAACAAGTGGGTAATAACGCGGTGGAGACTTCGAGCAGCCTTTCCGAGCCCGGCTGCAGCCTGGCCTGGGGGGCGGGAGGTGGAGGGGAGGGAGAGGAAGGGGAGGGGGGGCTGTGGCTTGGGTTTGCATCCCCCCTCCCTCCCCGCCACCCCCGCCCAATTGAAAAAGAAGTGTATATTTCCAACCGGAGTGGCAACGAATATATAGGCTCTGTGTTGCCCCGATAGAGTTTGGGCCCGGGGTTTTACAAAAAGTAAGGCTTTTCAGCTGCACGCCCTGGCCTTCCGCGCCGGGAAGCGGGGCAGAAGCCGGTGGGCAGCGAGCCCTGGGGAAGGCGACTCTGCCGGCGGCGGGGAGGGGGCTGGTCCCGCCGGGGCTCGGGCGGCTGTGTGCACGTCTCCGGTACTGGGGCGGAAGAATGAAGGTTTGGGTTTAAATGGCTTTACGGCGTTGAAACGTGCTGCTTTTCTCACGGACTTTATGCAACCTTCTGCGACATAATAATTTCTTTTTAAGAGTTTGAAACTCCGGTCACTCAATTACACGGAATCGCGCAAGCAACTCAGTTGAAGGAGGATTTAAATGCAATACTTTGCACACCATTCCCAGTTACAACAAATAATCCTGCAACGAGGAAAGCAGAAACAACTTAAAAGTCACATTTTCCTTAATCCTAAATCCATGCACCTCATAACTGGAGAATTTAAAGCATGACTAACCTCTCTTACAGAATGGCTCAATCCGTATAATCCCAACGGGACTTTCGAAGTTTGTAATATGGATGGAGTCAGTAACAAAGGGGGGGGAAAATACCCAATCCAATTTAATGTCTGACAAGTGATGGATCGGACAGCTATTTCCTCTGCGCTCCGACGTGCTCCCGGGGTTGCGGAGCGCCGGAAAAAGGGAGTCAGAGCCGTGAGGAACCCGCCGTGGTACCTGCCACCGGCCGCCTCTAGCCAGCCCTGAGGCCTTCTCCTCGCCGCTGTCCTCCATTATTTTGACCCGGGTCCGCCCTTTGTCCGCGGGGGCCGGGAAGCCGGGAAGGAGGGAGGGGGGCGCAGCAGGGCCGGGGGACAGCCGGGGGCCTCGGCGCGGAGGTCGCGCGTGGAGGAGGCGAGGGGCGCGGAGCCCCCGGCGCTGCGGCCGAGCTGCCGCCGCTTCGGCGTGGGCTGGTTTTATTTCTTCCTCCTTGGGGCTGAGTGCGGCACCTTTCCGAGCCAGCCGCCCGAGAGGGGAAAAAAAAAAATGCAGTCGAGGTGCTAAGGGGCTAACCGGGGAAGAGGAGGGGGCAGGGGCCAAAAACCTGCAGTGGCCGGGGGCTGGTTCCGCCAGCTGCACTGCCCAGGCTGCTCGGGAAGTGCGAGGCAGTCGGAGCGGGATCGGGCCCGTGGGCAGCCGCGTTGGGACATTGTCGGGGCTTCTGGCAGCTTTCTGAGTGCCGGGGAAGGGGCAGGAAGGACCGGGGAGCCTTTTCCCCAAAAGACGCCGCAGCTTCTGCTGGAGACATTTTGCGAAGGAGAAAACACTCCAGGCTGGACCGCGCCTCCGGCCGCACGGCGCTGGGCGACCCTGGGCCGCTGCCGCCGCTTTCACCGCTTGATGACCCCCTGACCCCGGGGACCTCCTGAAAGGGACCCCCAGGCCCGACTCGGCCAAACTCCACGGGGACGGGCACACGCGTGGCCTCGCTCAGGGCCGGGACCCGATCTCAGCCGGGCTCGGCAGCGCATGCAAAGCCCAACCAGCTGTCCTGGGGCCTGGGCGCGATCCTGGGGGCCCTAGGGGGTTCCTGGACAAGGGAGCTGCGTCCTGGCTTTTCTACCCGCCGGTGGGCGCCTGGCGATGTCAGCTGCGATATCAGCCTGGGTGGTAACAAGACCCCATCCCGCCGTCCCCCGAGCCCAGACTAACTTCTTTCAACAGCCTCTGATGGTAATTACAGTAATCGGGACTGCCATATATCCTTTAAGCAATTATGACACAAAAAAAAGCCCCCAAGGACCCCCTGTCGTGGGATGTTCAAAACGGTTTCCCCGCTGAACAGAAATCCCATTTTCTTAGCGCTAAAACTTCTGAGACGAAGCGGTACCTCGGGGAACCGGAGCGCTTTTAAACAGAGTTAATCAGTTATCGCATGACCCCGTGTCAAGCTTACATTTTTCTCTTCCCACCCCCCGCCCTGCCTCTTACCCGTCTACTTATTTCATATTTCGCCCTGCACGAAAGTTTTCTCATAACAGCCCCTGCGGGGCAGGGATTGGGGTTGGGGGGGGGTGTGCAGATCGCGGCCAGGGCTGCGGGCGGGCGGCGGGACGGGGCGGCCCCGCAGACTCGCGAAGCGGGGGGCCCCAGCCGCTCCCTCTGCCATGTCCCCTCTCCCCGTCCTCCGCTTCGCCAAGGTCCACGGAGTTCAGCGGACCGGCCGAACCGCTCTGGCGGCTGGAAACGTGTTTATGTGGGTTTGGCGAGGTGCTCCAGGCGCTCGTGTTTTATAGACCGAATATGTAGGCGTGTAAAGGATATGTAGAAAATATGTTTACATACATGATGTGGATATGTACCTAGATAGTGCGTAGGATTTTTTCAAAACAGCTCCCAAACATAAAATCCGTCTGGGGAAAACTATTTTTTAAAAGTAACCCAAGTTTCTTCCCTCTCCACCGCACGACTTTAGCGCCAGCGGAGCCGAGCTGGCTACCCCGCACCGCAGGCCAGCCGGGGAAGCAGAGACCCCCGTGGCTGTCCGGTGCCCCAGGGGGAACAGCGGTCCCACAGCGGGCTCGGCTGCGCGGCCGAGGCTGGGGACCGCTGGCAAGGGAAGAGGAGCGGAGCGGGGTCCCGGCGCCGGGAGCGGCGGTGGACCGGGGTGCGTGGGGGCAGCGCGGCAGTGCCGGGCTCCACACCGGGATGCACCAACGCTGCACGTATCGCTCCAGTGTCTCTCTCCCCCCACCCCCAGCCTGCCCCTCCTCCTCCTCCTCCTCCTTTGTGTGCGTGCGTGTGGACCCTCTCTCTCCCCGTGGATGCTAAGGACTGGAGAGGGAAGTCGAGCGCTTTCCCCCCGTTGGCATTGTGCGATATCCGAATTCCCATGCTACACTTTTTGACGGGTCACTGGTGCCCCAATAGGCAGGTGGCAAGGAGGGCTTGTAATTACACACTCCCAGAAACGGTGCCTTGGCCTCAGCCCTCCTCACGGGCGCCTACCTGCAGCTCCAAAGCCGCGGTTTGCTCGCAGGCAGTGGGTCGGGGGGGCATCCTTCAGCTGCGCTCCTTATTAATTGCGTAAAAGTTTTCTATTCTTTAACCCCTCTCCCTCCCTCCCACCTTCCCTCCCTCCTCCACCCCTCCCTCTCGCAGTCCCTAACCTAATCCCCGTCCCTCTCACCGTGTTGTGTATAGCAGCTGTCGGGTTTCATTTAGGGGAGAAGCTGGCAGCTTGTGCTCATTGGAGGCAGTCAAACGAGTTTCAATGGGAAAAATCATTAAGTTAACACTTTATCTAATGTCCCTATTGTCTGCCAGCAGGCATTGTCTTAGAGCCTCAGCGTAGACATGTCTGAAAGTATCTCCGACTTCTAAATTCTCTAGGGAGCCCCTGCGGCCTGTTTCCATTGCCCCCTCCCGTCCCGTAGCAGCGCTCCGCACCGCTCCGCACGCTGCTGCTTTTACCCCTCCAGTCTTCATCCTCAACCCCCATAGCCGGGGCTCTCCCGAACTACTTCCAAACAAAGATAATGGTCTCGAGAGCTCTTCATTGGAGTTTGGAGACCAAGGTTTCGTGAGAGAACTGAATTTCCAGCTTAAGTTCTGGTAGGAGAGAAGAAGACTGTTTGAGGCAGAGGGACGAAAAAGAGAGGAGAGGAGAGGGAAGGAGAGGAGAGAGAAGAGAAGAGAAGAAGAGAAGAGAAGAGAAGAGAAGAGAAGAGAAGAGAAGAGAAGAG